AATTATTTTCAGGGAAAACAATAAAAATAAAAATAAAAATAAAAATAAAAATAAAAATAAAAATAAAAATAAATAAATGATTATGAAATATTTGTTTGAATAGATGAAAAACTTGTCAGAGTGAAGGTCCAGTGGAGGGGACAGGTTCCTCTGCCTGCCCCTTGCCCATGTGAAACACACTGGGACAGGACCTGGCACAAGGACTCCAAAATGGCTCATGCTGCATGTCTGAGGTGAGGGGACACCCAGCACCACCCTGCCCAGCTCTGTACCCACATGTGGCCCCCTGGGCTGTGAAGCAGGGAGGGAAGGTTAAAAGAGCCCAGGGTGTTCACTGCCCATCGCTGTACATTTTCTACATGAAATGCTCAAATCAGAAAGACTTTGGATCAGGATGAATAATATTTCTAGACAGGAAGCCAGTGTTATGAAAAAAGCATGAGCAGCTATGAGGGTGTGTCTCACCTCCTTTGCACTCCAAAGACAGCACCCCCCCCACATCTCCACAGTGGCAGAACTGTCCTCCCACTGTTCCTGGGTGCTGCAAACCCCACCAGGGTGAGGCTAATTTCCACCTTGGGGAAACAGCCCCAGTTAAGCAAAGCAGAATAAACAGAAAGCTGAGGGAGCAGCCTGGAGGGGAAGGTGAGGAACAGCCAGCTTGCAATCCAGTTCAAAGCCAGGGAGACCTGGATAGACAGAGCAGGGTGTATACTCACTTACTGTGTAAAGCAATAATTGTTTGCTAGCTCTATGATCCTCTTCAAGCACAGACAAGATGGAAACTCTGGCTATGGGCAGTGCACCAGAACCAATCCCAGAAGCATTTTTCAGGTCTGTTCCCTCCTGTCTTAAGGATACTTAATTCCTTTGCAGAGTTCTACCCAAAACAGCTATTCTTTGCTTCCCTGGTAGGACAGATCTTTTTTTCCTATTTACCCAGAAAGCAACAGTTCTTTCTTGCCCTTCTGTCTTTCCCTGGTCTGGGAATGAAGCAGAGCCCACACACAGCTTCCCTGACAGCCAGGCTGCACTTAGGAGCTGAACCAGGTGCTCAGAGCAGAGCATGGGGGCCAGGATCAGGAGATGCTCTTCTCCCTTCAGGAAGGGACTAGAACAGCTCCCACCCCTGTTCCCAGTAGCCTTTCCTAAGGCTGGCTCACTAAATTGCTTCCTTCCATTCTGCCGCTGAAATCTTGGTGGCAAGGTCTGCCTCAGCATGCTGGAATCCAACAGGCAGGATGGCAGGAGCAGCTCAAGCTGTGGGCATGGGGCTCTCTGCTCTGGGTGGCAGCAGAGCTGCACACTGAGCTCATGCCCACTTGCAAGGGGAAGCCAAAGGCTCCCATGATGTGGAGATGCTGTGAGTGTTTCAAGAGAGGTATCATGCACATCCTTTGGGGCATCCAGGTCTGAGGGTGCTCTCTGGATCCACAATCACCACCACTGTTTCTGAGCAAGGCTACAACTCAGCAGCAGCTGGTCACAGCTGGAGGGATTTTCTGTGTAGCTAGCAGCCATCAAAACTAATCCCATGCCAGCACCAGGAGCCAGCCACGTGCTAAAATGGACTAAGTGTGCACATTTTCTTCTAGTTCCTTCCGCATCGACCAGGGCAAGGAACTAAAACATTTCCTTCACCAAACAAATTCATTTCCCCTTACTGCAAGGCTTCAAACTCCAAATACAGTGTATCCCACTACTCCCCCTTATCCAAGCTTGGTATCTGTGATAAGCACAATTATTTTACCCATCTGTGATACCTTTGAATGGCTGAGAATTTTCTGTCCTCATTTTGGAGCCCACGTTCCCCCTACACAGGCAGGAAATATAGCTCTGCCTGCACATTCTTTCTCTTAATCTAAAATAAGTTCCACATTAAACCACACTTGATCTGTATTTGTGTAAGGGAGGAAACCACTACAAGAGAAATTTAGGAGAAGAAGCAGAAAGAAAAGCAGCCTTCACTGCCATTCCCCACATCCCTTCATGGGTTGCAGCATCTCTTTGAAGTACCACACACTTGATCAGAGAGGAATCTAGAGGGCTGCTGCTCCAGGCCTGAGGAGTTTCTGAACATTCAAACTCCTCAAGAATTACAGGAATTTCCAATATCTTCCAGCACATGTTTAGATACTCAAAACCTTTCCAGCTCCCCTGAGCTGCCTACAACAAGCTTGTGGTGTGCCTTTGGCAGAATCAGGAAAGGAAAGGAGAAATTAAAATGGTGGCTACTCCCAAGCAAGTTACAATCCAATCAATCTCCGGCAATTTTTGCATTGAAAGCCTGCTCCTCTACTTTGCTACAAAAGCCACAGTACTCTCACCTTCTTGCTATGTCATTTTTGTTGCTGGTAAGATTAGTGCACAGCATAAAGCACAACCCATCTCTGCCACCCAAGGACCTTGAATGCTCTGTGAGCTGTCCCAAAGACGGAGTTCTGCCAAACATGCTATCGCCCTGGTCATGGCTGTGCTTCCAGCAGTGACTGACACAAGCCTCCAGCCTTACTCCATCAAGGCTGAGAGACAGAACCTCTTTTGAACAGAGCCTAATTCCATTGCAGGGAATCAGTTTGCTCACACCCACCACAAACAGCTTGTTTCCAAACCCCCTTATTATCTTGGAGATGTCAAAAATATTAATTTCCGTTTTGCAGAACTTAGGTACAAAAGCCCACAACAAAAAACAGAACCTATTTTCCTCATGTCAGAGAGGCAGGGGCTGTACCTCCTGTGGGCAGCCACTGATGTGTGGAGGAACAGGGTGCTCTCTCCTACCCCAGAATTAATGATGAAGAAACCAACAAGAGCAGCTCTAGGAGAGGACATATCCTGCCACTCTTGGGTGGTTTCCACAGAGAGCTCTAAGGCAGGGGTGCATTCAATAAGAAATCAAGGGTAAGCAGAGTTCACTTAGTAATTTAAGCAATGCAAGGTTTGCACTTTTCAGGATACTGCAAAATAAGAGCACATGACCCTGCTGAGTTATTTATTGCAACACCTCTGAGTTAGCAAAAGGTGCCTTTGTTAACCCCACAAAATGGCCTTTATAATTTCTCTTCCTTTGAAGTGCCAGATCTGCCAATACTAGAATAAAACCCAAAATCTGTACGATCTGTATGTTGGTTCAAGCACTACAGTGTATCCTGCAAAGAGCAGGAAGGTCTCACAGTCCTGAGTACTCAGTTGGATCTTTCTGCATTTTGGCTGTGGAGATAAGCTTGCAGTAAAAAGTGCTACTCAATATATAGAAAGGGATGTTGTCTCAGTACACAGAAACACACTGCACCAGTTTGTTTAACAGGCCACCTCAGACCCAGCTCTCAGGTGACTCACTACAACAATTCCTCTTGCTTGGTCATTTCACCCATTCAAATCCATGCTCGGACTAGGTGGGTAAAAAATTGTACACAGGCTAGGCAAAAAACTGCATAGTTGTCCTTGTGCATGAGGAAGAAAATGCCAGAATTAATGCATCCTTCAAAGACACACCAGCACCAAGGAGCACTGAGTGTCCAGGCAAGCCCATGCCTTGGGCAAGACCTTCAGAGCATGGGCCACTTTCCTGAGAGCAAACCTCTCCTTGCTGGGTACAACATGAGCCAGCTTCTAACAACCACAAAAAGTGACTGCATTAAAACAATTCTAAACAGACTATTCCTATGGAAATCTAGCATCTTATTTCCATAGAGATACACTAATATTACACTAAGTCCCAAGCAGAAAGCCTGCCTACTATCTGGAGCTAAAAAGAAGCCATACTTTGTAGCTGAAAACTGCTACCAGCTTATGTCACTTGTGTGCCAGGCACAGCAATGCACAACACGCACCAGCAACCATTTATCCTTCATTATCTACTTCTGGCCCCAAGGGCAATTTCCATTTCTTATCCACTTTTCTGCTTTAGAAGCAGCACAGACTGGGGGCAGCAGGGTTAGGGCTGCCTTTCTTTCTCTGACATTAACTTCTGTGCAAGAGCAAAGCCTTGGGGTGGTGGGCACTCCAGCAGGAACCACTCTGCTTCACTAGGGATTGAAACATTTTACAAGGAGGATGATGTTAAGCCTTAAATTAGTTAATTGAACCTTTTACAGTGTCCATCCTTCACACTGTGAAAAGTAGCCAAGACAATGCAGAGGAAATCAGCATGCTTCACATTTGGAAGTGTCTCTGGACAGGAGCAACAGGAAGCATCTTCAGAGAGAAAAGAAGTTACTAGGTGTTACCCAGAATGCGAAGATGATGAAGAATGGTCACAGGCTTTTCAGAGCCAGTCGAGGTGTTCTGCAACTCCTGAAGTGAAATCTTAAAGGTGCAAACCATCCTGTATTTTCTTCTATCCTCAGGCCCAAGAGAACAAGTTAGAGAACTCTTCTCATTGGAGGAAGTTATTACCTCATTCCCAGTTTTCCCAGCAGAAGAAAGCAATCTAGGATTACTAATGGAGGTATTTGAATAGAGGCGAGCTTCCTAAGCCATCTTCCTGTTACTGCATTGCGTTAAAAATACACAGAGAACATTGAAATCAGTAATTTCTGTGTCCTTTGAAAGGAGACAGTCACTTAATTTAGATGCTGTGGTGCACAGATGCAGCTCCTTGCTGGCTTTGCCAGGGAGATTACAGGGTAGTAGATTGCTGTGCAGCAGGGAATGACTGATGGAAAGCACCTCCTCACAGGTGGCTCAGGGCACATCTTGCTGGTTACACAGAGTTGTTCACTGACTTCAGCTAAGCAAGCGGGAGCTTTCTACTTCAGATGTGATACATTCTGCTTTAACTTTTTGCACAATTTAAAAGTGGAAGTGGGTAGCGAGGGTGAAAACTTTTTACATACACTCAATTCTTCTGAGAGGTGATGTAAAGCACGTAACACAACTCAGTGAAGCAGAGGAAGTGCACTGGCAGTAAATGAGTGTCACAATGATTTGTTTGAAATCCTGCAAAGACAATTTAACATCATTTTGGTGACAGTGTATCAAGAACACACAGGAATTCATTCTAGTGTCAGCATAAATTTTATTTACTTATTGCTGTCAATATGCACAGTAAAGGAAGACCTGATGTAGCTACCTCCTGCATACAATATTTCTGAAGAGTCACATATTGTGGCTTTGATGGTAATAGAACAAAAATGCTGTATTCACAGGCCACAGTTTTCCTAACTGCCTGAATTACAGATGCATTCCCTAGCTATCCTGTATTCTGTCCCTTGCAGCATCACCTAATATATATAGATCTTGTAACTGGAAAATAGCCAGAGATTATCTGGGAACAGCATAAAGGAAAAAAAAACATTTCTGTATTGCTTTATCAGAGCCCTTCAGCCTTGTAGGAGCAAGAATTAATTTGTGACTTTCTAGCATGTAAACACAAGCAGATAAACCACAGAAAGATCAAGTATGCTAAGGAAGAATGGGAACAATCTTCTCCTACCATATCACCTATTATCACAAAAACATCCTCCTTCAGAACTGGATCCTCTGATTGGATGAAACCTCCCAACGCCTGGCAGAAGGATACTAGCCAGTAACTGACTAACATGGGAAGTACAGGCTGTGCTTTCAAAGCTTTTCCTCTGGTCACACTAGAGTGATTCCATTCAGGAGCACCATACTGTCACAGGATGCTCCTCCACCCAGCATTAACTCCTCTCCGCTGGCTGGTAAGCCAAGGCTTGCTTTCTAGCCTCATCCTTGACTTATCCCTAGGAAGAACACTAAATTGGTAGGGAATTATGTAGGTGGCCAGATGCCAAAGGGTGTGAGTGGACCCTGTCACAGTCTGACTGGGACAATGACAAGCAAATACCTGTGTGTCACTGGACATACATAATACCCAGGGGTCCTGATGCCATGAAAGGTACAGTAAATCTGCACTTTACCCTAACCCCTAACTGTACTTCTGCTGCTTACTTTATTCACCTTTATATTGTCAATTTATTTATTTCCCTATTAATATGCAGGAGAAAACAGGGCAACACTCCAAGCGTGCTTATCCTGTGCTCTGTAAGCACCAGGCAGTGCTGCTTCTACAGCATGGGTAATTATTAACCAACTGCTAAAATAGATGGGGAAGGCTGCAAGGCGTTCAGGGGTTCCACAACAAAGTGACTCCTCTCCTGTACTCCTCTCCCACAACCCTTACAGCTTACCTGAAGTGGCAGTGGGTTTTGTTGATGGACAGTCCTCACCCTCCTGCCCTCCAACTTGTTTTACAGAGGTGTTGAGGAAGCCATCAAAAATGAGTCAAAGGCTTCTTCACACTGAGGAACAGATGGCCAATAGCTAACATCTTCCCTAGTTCTGACAGCTAGATGTCCCAGTGCAAAAAATGTGCAAAGGTGGCCCCAGAATGTTCTGTCCACCATCAACACAACAGAACTCTCCCTCCAGCTTGCATTGATGACATTTGAATTACCTATAAGCTCTTCTCTGTACATGATCCTCCTTGGACCCAAATCCACAGCATCCTCCAGCTGTCTTCGCCTTGTGTTGTTGCTGTTTGCTTGAAATGATGTAGCATCAAGACAAAAAGTTTGGCCCTGTGTTTGATACTTTTGGCTATGCTTGGGAGGCTGGGACTGCTGCAGTCTTCAGGAAAAGTGCCCCACCGAAGTGCTGATTGACTGAGGGTGTGCAGTGAGCTAACTCCTAGGGGGAATCAGGCAGAACAGGGTGAGCTGTGCTCAGCTGAGGAGATTACACAAGCTGGAACATAGGCTGCTAAAGGTTTCCTCAGAAGCACTTGTGTTTGGCAGACAGACTAGACAGGGAAAGAAAGAGAGGCACTTCCTAAGCAACGGTCTCTGGTTCACTTTAACACTGACTGTGGCATCTTGGCAAAACATGGCTTAATGCAAGCAGCTGAAGCAAACAGGTCTGGAGTGATCAGCAGACAATGTCTGCCAGGCTGCAGGGAGCACTCAAACTAAAGCAAAGCCAATAACTGAAGAGATTGCCTACACACACCTCTCCCCCACCTTCCCCACCCAAATGCCAATCTCCCTTCTGAGCCTAGTGCCCAAGGCTGTAACTTTTGCAGAGCTGAATGGCAGGTTGAGCTCAGAAGCCCCCTCCCAAGAAGAGTCACTTTTTGTCCCCTGAAGCAGAATCCTTTTGTGACCTCATTATTTGATAGATAGTTTTCCTAAAGCGCTGGTCCCGGCTCAGTCTTTTGGCTGCTTCTTTCAGCTCTTCAATGTTTTCAGCTTCTGCATGTGAGAAGATGAAGGACTGTGACTGTTTCACTGGAACAAGAACAGCACAGAAAGGTAAGCACTCTGCATCAGGAACACAAATTAAAGATAAAGCTTCACTAGAGTTCACAAGCCACGTGACCAACATGACTGAGCCTAACTCAGCCTGTGATTAGGCATTCTGATGAAGTAATATTTTAGTATGTTTTTTTAGGGGCCATCACAGGACCATCACAGAAGTTTAGCTTTCAACATGTATAAAGAAATGGGCAACAAGTATACAGGATCATTGCCTGCTCTCTGGGAAAGGAAGCTCCAAGTAGCATTGTGGCTGCATTCTACTGCTAAGGAACATGAAATACAAACATTTGCAGAGACTTTACTGCTCTGCCAGTCCCATGGGCACATATCTTCTCCTGCAAGATATAAAGCAGAAGGCTGCCTGATACCTACTGTCATTCCAGGAAGTGCTGGTTCTCCGGCAGCGGAAGCGGCAGCTCTTTATGCGGCGGGTGGCAGCCTTGTGGATGTACACGGAGTTCTTCATGATCACAGGCATCTTGGCCTCCAGCTCAGCATTGCGGATGCACTCTTCAAAGAACTCTGGGAAGAGAACACCACTGTTATAGTGATGGGACACACACTCCAAGCAATGAACCAGTCACAAGGGACTGCACTCATTGGTGGGCTGAGCCAGGTAATGATCATCTTCATGAACAACAATCCATAAAGCTCTGCAATATCATCAGAAAAAATGTTTTCAAAGTGACAAAGACCTCCAGTTCCTAATAAATGCATACTCAAATTTAGAAAGAACTGCAGCCATCCATTCCACATCAGTAATTCTCACAACTGCCTATGACTCAACAGCCAAAAGACTTTGATACTGTGATAAAACTTCTCAACTCTGATGCCTTGCTCATCATACTTTCTTTGAAGGACTTCTAACACCAGTCAGGTCTAACTAGAAAAATAAGGTGTTGGCAACACCAGCACAGTCACACATGGTAAGGGATTTATTAATAGCATAGCAAATACTAGCACATAGTTACATATATTATCGGCTCCAAGAAAAGCCCCGTGTCCAAACTCTGACATTATTCTGCCCTGATCTGCCACAAAAACTGCTTTTCCTGCCCTATTTCCCTTCATTATGGTCTGACCAGTGTCGATTCTGCCATTCCAGTCTTGCTGTCTTCCTGCCTGTTGCTGTCCCTTGCTGTTCAAAGGCATCATGTGCTAATGTGCCCAAACTCTTCTATAAAGGGCAGGGCAGAGCTGCAGGAACCACTTGGAAGGACTGAGGCAATTTGTACTAGGACTAATGTTATGGGAAACATTGCTGGTCCCTTATCTTCTTTAGTGCCCTGCTCAATCAGTACATTTTTACTCTTTTGAAAAAAACATCCCCCAAAATCTAAGGTTGGAAATATCAGGAGACATTCAGTACCAGTTACTCATTTATACCCTGTGAAGCTCTACTTAAATGCTGAACTCAACACATCCACTTTTGCTCTGTTTTCTTACCATGGCTCTGAGCCAGTGAGATGAAGTTCAGAATCATGACTGTTTTTCTCCATTTAGAAATCTTACTTAGAAACTACCAAATAACTTGTTTTATTTATATATATATGTAAATTATAAGTATGTGAATAGATATAAAACTATTTATACATTTATTTCCCCCTATTTACCTAACAATACTCAGAATACCACAGGACTTTTTGACTTTTCTGTATTGGCCCAGTACATCCATCCTTCACTGAAATGAATCCTTAACTGTACAGACACAGCACCTTCATAAGCACTTCTCCCTGCACTGTAACTTGAGCATGAAAAACAAGTAAGATTTGACTCAATTTGACTGCTTATGTCTGTTTCCAAGCTTGACTCAAGCCAAATGCCAGGGTAATACCTCTCAAGAGAACCCAAAAAGACCCAATGCAAACAAACCTAAAAAAAGGCAAAGAAACAGGGATAACTTGTGAGAAGCATCATTCTTACACCTGACCCATGCACTGCAGTGCTGAGCAGATGCTGTGATTCAGCTCTGAGTAAAGATCCAAACTTCACCTTCTGGGTCACCTACCAGCACGTCGCTACAGCAACCACAGGCCTCCTTAAACTGGCGATATTCTTTTAACTAAGGCTGAGAAATAAAGCCTTGAGGGGAATCAGAGGACTCCTTATAACCCAAACCTAGTCAGTAGTCAGTTTTTATAACTCTGCCACAGCTTCCCTGTTTGACATTTTGGAAAGTATTTGCTCATCTCTAGGTTTGTCTTCCACCCAAGAGAGAAGTCTGGAATAATGTCATGCTCCCTTGAGAGGCTGGAATAATTTCAACCTCCTTTGAGGGCAAAACAGCAACTACTTGCATAGCACCTTATGGCTCCTCAGAGGAGATGTGTGATGGAGGTACAAGAAGTTGGGAGACCACATATATGTGCAGCTTTGCTAATTTGGAATTTTCCTTGTATGTCTGGTAAGATAGGTAGAAATATTTTCTTTGTATGTCTGGTAAGATAGGTAGAAATAGTTTGCTCATCAGTAGAGAGCATAGATGACTAACTTACTTCTCAAGTTACTGACATCTGCTTTCATCTTCTTCTCTTTCTCCTTGTTGAAATTCAGAGAATTTAAGCCTTGCTCCAAGCTCTGCAATGCTTCTTCAGCCTCTCTCAGTCTCTTCTCCAGATCCATGCGTACCTTCACTTCAGCCTGAGGAAGAAAATAAGAATAGCTAGAAAACAGCTTGTTTCTCAGTAAACATCCTGGTAACTCACAAGGTCTGTGAGGGACTTGGCATGGATGAAAATGAAAAGACAACAGGGATGGAAATCCTTAGAAAGGCAATATAAAGATGTTTCTCATGTCTTCAGACAGAATCTGAAGTCCAGATTATTGTAGTAATTTTCATTTACTCTGACTTCATTTTTCACAGTTTTCCTCCCATTGCATAAACCATATGGAATCAGAGATGCTATTTCAATAAATGAATTTGTGCTAATTCAAGTACTTGCAGCTCAGCAGGAACAGAAGGACATCAATCCAGCTTTGACAGACTTGAGATAAAGGCAGTCAATTCCCACAAAGGGATGTACAGTGCTTAGTTTCATAAACAAAACACAAGAGAATTTAGAAATACTGTACTCGTTTTGCAAAGGAGAAAGACTACACAGCTTAGGTCAACTTAGCTTTAGTCTGGCCAAGTAGAAAGTTACAAGATAAGAAAATATTGGAGGTGCAGGAAAAAATAACTCAGGGGTTTTTTTTTTACAAAATATTTGTAAAAGGAGTTTGAGCGCCAAACAGCCAATTATTTTACATAACCTTTACATTATTTAGGTTTAAATAAAATGCCATACTTTATCCAGTTACCTTTGCATAGATTCATGTATTGTCTGTTACGAAGAAGGGCTGGTCCCTCAGCTGAACTCCTCTACTTTTGAACCCAAGTTCTTGCAGAGGTTACTGAAGATTTAAAATTCTTAAGGTTGGTTTTCTGACCACAAGTGAGGAGGGAAGATCTCTCCTCAGTTCTGCAACATCTATATTAGCATTTCTTCCAAATCATCTTTATTCTTGATTGTGTCTACTTTCCCCTTTTATTATTTTTCCTTCCCTCCATCCATAGATGATGCTTTCACAGTAGCAAATTAAAAGACTTGCACTGAATTAATTAATTAGGCTTCAGGATGTGAAAATAAACAGTAGTCCTACATAGGTAAAAGATAGCAATTTCATGTGTTACCATGCTATCATAGTGCTTTGGGTAGGAGGAGACCTTAAAGATCATCTCATTCCAACCCCTCACCCGCAGGGAGGGATAATTTTCACTAGACCAGGTTTCTCAGAGCACCATCTAACCCAGTCCTGAACACTTCCAGGATGGACTATCCACAACTTCTCTAAGCAATTTGTTTCAATGCCTTACCACCCTCACAGTAAAGAATTTCTTTCTAATCTAAACCTCTCCTCTTTCTGATTGAAGCCAATTTCACCTGTCCTATTACTACACATCCTTGTAAAAATTCGTATAAAAGTTTCCTTATCAGAGCCTTCTCTTCCCTAGGCCAAACTCTCCCAGCCTGTCTTCACAGGAGAAGTGCTCCAGCCCTCCAAGCACCTTGGTGGTCCTTCTCTGGGTTCACTCCAACAGGTCGACATCCTTCCAAAGCTTGATGCAGCACTGCAGGTGGGGTCTCACCAGAGTGGAACAGAGGGACAGAATCACCTCCCTTGCCCTGCCTGCTACTCTGCTTTGGATGCAGACCAGGATACAGTTGGCAATATGAAGCATAGCTTATGAAGTTTTATGACCAAAATGTGAAAACTAAATAAAACCAAAAGTTTGGCTTGATAGGGAATGAATTGAAAGAGCAAATGGAAGCACTCTGAGCCCAGGGACAGCAGTGTGTGACGTATGCAGGGGATACCTTGAGGTCTCTCTCTGCCTGCTGTTTCTCTGCAGTCAGCTCCGAGAGCGAGTTCTGCAGCGCTTGCGACTGGGAAGAGTAAAACTCCCGCTCCTCCTCCAGTGCTCGAGACCGCTCCTCATTCTCCTTCATCCTGGTGCATGGCACAGCAAACAAAGATGACCATTCCCACCCCAACACAACTCACAGGAAGGAAAGGAGCTCAGTGTCACGATGGGGCATGCTCAACTACCTGACTGCCCAGAGCAGAGACGCTAACAGGAGCACTGTGAGCTCCATTGCAACAACACAGGCATTGCTGGAGAAAGCCAGCTGAACAGTTCTTGAATGGAACATTCTCAACTCCCAGATGAGGCCCAGGAGCAGCAAATGCTCCATATGGGCAGGCCATGAACACCTTCCCATGTCCAAGTCCTGGTGTGAAAGGAGCAGGCCCAACTGGGACCTGCCCTGCCTCACTCTGTCTCCTTTGAAGGATTGGCAACCTGAACTCCTGCCATTGGAACCAGACAAGCTTCCAGACTTGTCTGATGCTGGCAACCAAAAAGCAAGTCAGCAGACAGTCACATCATTTGGCATCACTAAGCCTGAGCAGAAGTGTCCTCTTTCCCCCTTTCACCTTTTCTCTGCCAGGAGTTTCTCCTGCAGAAGTTGCTGCATCTTCTCTTCAATCTGTCGCAGGCTGCAGTGCAGTCCCCAGATGGGGCTTTGCTCCTTGCTGGGGCTGGTTGGAGGTGGGACTTGGCTCTCATTTTCTTCCAGCATCTCCAGCATTTGTTGTTTTTCCAGGGAGAGCTCCTTGAAGAAGGACAAGAGATTGTGAGTATCAGCCAAGTCTAGCGTTTCTGCTCCTGTTCCTGCCTGGTTCTTCCTTCCTGAGTGCCTCTATCCTTACATCCACATGCCTCATTCAGGTAAACACAGGAACAACAAAATTTGGATTTCGTTTCATACCTGCTTCACAGGGAGCAAGCCTCCAACACAGCCTTCACTACAAAGGGGTGAACCAGCAGGCTCTTTTGATGTGATATGTTAGCAAGGGCACAACTCCGAGACTGGAACCTTATGCTTCCCTGGTGCATCACAGATGCAGGTTCCCTGCCTTCCCTGCTCCACTTGTTCCTTAGTGGGAGCTGGAGGCACCCACTCTGTGGTACTTCTAACTGTAGGCAATGGGACACATCACTCTGTTTGCCTCTGAAGTATTCAATGTGCAATTAAGGCAGGAATGGTACTTCCATAGCTTTCCAGTTATTTTTTTCATAACTGAGGGCAAGGAGACGAACTCAAAGAAACAGATTTTGGGACAAACTTGCAGAATTTGACACAAACATTAAAGATGACCTTGCAGCTTCAGAATGCCAAGTGTGTGGAAATTTCACAAAAAAATATACATTTAGAAAAGACACTTTCCACAAATCCAGCAGTAAAGAAAAATTTTAATACATCAAGACTCTGTTTCCTAGATTCCCATGTGGTACATGATTTCCTAGGGAATTATGCTCCCTTCTGTGAACAAAGAATGCCCTTCTGCTGCTTCAAATTCCACCAGAAGGTAGGGAGGTGCAGTTAAAAAAAAAAAAAGCTCATCACAGACTTACAGTTATGTTGGCTGGAAGGGACCTTCCAGTAGGCTCCTGCCCAGCTTGCTGTTCAGAGCCAGTCTGTCAGCACAGCAGGATATGATCAACTGTGGCTGTTTACAGTCTGAAAACAGTCCACAATGAAGGTTCCTCAGCTTCTTTGACTGCCTGCCTGCCTATCGGGTGACAATTCTCTCCCTACTGTTCCACCTAAGCTTCCTAAACTACAGCTTATCATGGTTATTGTCCTACCACCGTATTACCTGGTACTGCTGAGAAAATCTTGGTTCACTTGTGCTCTGTGTCATTTCTCATCCTTTTCTGAAGGGGATTTTGGTGTTCATATCAGCTACCAAATGACCCTGTTCATCTGTACAGCACCTCAGCTCTGGCACTGGCAGATGTTGGATTCATTCCATGTGACAGCACTGCTTTCAGGCCAAAATGCTGTCACTCAGAGGGGAGGAGCAGTCACTCACCTCTAGGGTGTTCTGTAAGGACTCTGTCAGGCTTCGCAACTCTTTCTTCTCTTCCTCCACTCCTTTAAGGGAGCGGGCTGTGAGCTCCAGCTCCCTAAAGAAGCAAAAAAGGTGACAGCTACTGCAGGGGAACGATTGCCCCACAGACTGCACCCAGGCTGTGCAGGCTGAGGGTCTCCTGGTGCAGGACCTGCAACCATCAGTAGGTACAGCCAGTCCTGGTGAGACAGGAGTTTGCCAGGAAGCATCACAACCTGCAGGTGTCCAGGAGCCTCACTGTGCCTCCTAATCATCAAACCCAACCCAACAGTTACTGCACTTATCCAGCAAGGGCAGAGCCATGGTTGCAACTGAAAGAGCTCAGACAGGGCAGTCACATCTAAGCAGAGCCTTTGAAAACAAAAATGGTTTGCAAAATCACACTGGCTTTTCTGAGATGTTACTTAGGGAGAAAAAAAGAAGAAAAAAGAACGATAGCAAAAAATGCCCTTTCAACGCGTGAGGCAAAGCACTTTGATCCTTCTATTTCGAAGTACATTTGCTCCAAATATTTTGCATAATTAACTTTAAAAATGACAAAACTAATCTTGGTGAGGCAACATCATCATACATCCGTTGTCATTCAGCTGATAGTGGAAAACCAGATCCAGGTGTCTGGATCTGCTCAGTCAGCTGAATTAATTTGCTCTCTGAAATCTTCTCTTGCACCTGTCCATTACCATGCTACCCCAACTAATCTGGGGGTTGTTTGTGTCCCAGCACTTTGAAATTAAATTGCTGGAGGCCTGAGTGCAAAATGAAGCTGAGCTGTATTCTATTGGCCACAAGCAATAGCAAATGCAGGTAAAGAGCCCACAGCCATTCCCGTTTTGGTCAATGCAGCATCTCCTTCCTACATGCACAAACCAGGTGCATTTTACACTGTTTGATGGTACTTTTGCCCGGTGTGGGAGTTGTATCCTTTCCCTGCCCTGCTGCCGTACCGTCTGATCTCCTCCTGCTCCAGCCGCAGCTCCCGCACCACCTCTTCAAAACGCTGCTTCTCTGCTTCCAGGATCTGGTTCAGACGCTCCAGTTCCTGCTCCAAAAGAGAAGACAGGAATGCACCCTGCCGACACAGTTAGGAGAGGCTTCCCTGTTAACAACTCCTGAGACTTGTAACATGGCATGTAACCCAAGCTGCGTAGGGCTACAAGGCTGTCTGACTCCACCACACTTTTGTTTGGGGCAATTAGAAGGATTTGAGGTTGTCTGAGGATTTTCAGATATCCAGAAGTCCCAGCCAGGTTACCAAGCACCTGGAAACCTCAGACATGCTCCCTTGCAGAGGTCAGCTCAGGCACATATATACAGAAGGTCCAAAACTCCCTGGGAATCCTGGGCATTTTCAGACCCGCACCCACACAGATACAGAAAAGCCAGACAGCCTCAGAAAGCAGCAGCCCCAGAATCTCTGTGCCTGAAGTGTGATACTTCTACCAGCTCAGCCTTTCTTCTCACCCCCACTGGTGCAGGAAAACACAAACCATTCAGATACAGCTTTGCACAGTTTAATCAGCCTGTCACTATCTTTGTGCTGATAAAATCAAAATTCAGCAAGGGTCCCTCTCCTGGCCAGGTCCCCTTGCAGCCATAGTTGCTGTGCAGAACTCCTGCTACAGGCTCATGCCAGTCACAAAACAGTGCTGGCACTGGATAAATTCCTAATTAAGACTCTTGCTTCATGGTGCAGGTACACAGTTCAAGCTGCTTTCCCAACGTACTGCTCTGAAGCCTTCAGGCTCCCAGAGGATCAAACCACAGTTCAGTGAGCTCTACATTCAGTCCTTCACAGCACCAAACTCCTTCAAATTAAGGAGTTTGCATTTCTGCCCCATCTGCTCTTTGTAGGCAATGGAATTACTGTGCATGGCCTTGGAAGAGCAGAGATTTGTTCCAAGATCTTCAGACAAGGTCATTTCCCCCTCAGGCTACCTCACCAGAGGGAGATGTCCCTCTGCAAAGGCAAAAGGAGCTTAGCCCTAAGCAAGTGTCCAAGCCACTTTTGGATTTTAGCTTTCCAGAAATGTATGCAAGAAAAAGATAAGCCTGAGAAGCCAAGGTCAGCATTGCCATCTTTTCCTAAGGAGAGGCAACAGTAATTTTGGATAAACTGGAAAAGAGCATGAAGCACTTTGCAACATTGTTAATATGGTGGCCCATATCCATGCAGGCTTCCCAACTGCATAATAGGACAACCCATTTGCACAGCTATCCTGCCATGACTTTATGGTGGTGCTATAAAAATCAGTATAGATTTGCATCAGTAAATATAAAGATGTACTACTTTTATTATATTAAGCAATTATAAGCTAGGAATAGTTTGAAAAGCTATTATAAACTTAATAAAGCAACCTGGCCTAATGGATGTCCCTTCCCTGCCCATGGCAGGGGTGTTGGAATGAGATGATCTTTAAGGTCCTTTCCAACCCAAACCATTCTATTCCAAGGTAAATTAAGGTATAATAGTCACATCTAAGGAAGTGCTCTCTTAATTTTTCCCTAGTGCAACATTTTTTATTCTCCCCATCTCTATTGTGTCCAAAGAACAAACCACATTGTTTTTTGTTCTCCTTGTTTTTCACAACAGTATCCCTATGCTAGAACAATGCTTGTTGACTTGCTGTCTAACTGTAGAGATGGGTCTTAATCGCCATAATCTTCTTGAATCTGCCAAATAACAATTGTATAATTCAATCCAGTGAGTATGATTTTCATTTGATCTTCCTTCCTGGTCCTTCTGGAGTCATAATGACAAACCTGCTGCATGGAAAGTAACAGGGAAAGGGAGCAGGAATATACCTCCATGACCCATCTCATCTTATTATTCCTCTCTTCATCCACAGGACCCAGAGGTTAGCTGGAGACTCCTGTGCCTCCACAAGCCTCTCTCCCTGAACACTGACTTGCCTTTGAACAAACAAGTCCCGACCTCCCAGCCCTGCCACATGGCAGTTGAAGGATATTGGCTTGTGATGAACTCACCTCTTTTTGTTCCCTCTGCAGACATAGCTCTTCTGTTTCTTCCATTAGTTTATCTGCAAGCACACAAAAAAAAAATTCCAAGCACAGAGAAAAGCATTGGGATATTTACAAACAAGAAACACTGGCTTTGTGAAGCTTGAAAATGCAGTATTCCCTATTCCTTTGTGTGTATCTGTCTGGGAGGCTCCAAAGGCTGAGATGGCACTAATGGGATGTTCTCTAACTTTCCTCCTGCCAAATAACTTAATAAACTAAACAAGCATATTGCTTTGTAATCTTTCTAAGGTTTCTCAGTATTCTTAAAGAACATTAATGAACCATCCTTCACCATCCTCTGAGTCAGGAAAATATTCTTATCTCTGCTTCACAGATAAGGAACAAGGCACAGAAAGGTCACATGAGTGCAGAGGGTCACACAACATGTGTGTCAGTTTTCCTTCAGCTCAGTGCCCCATCCTCACCTGCTAGCCCATCATCCTCTCATTCGCCCTCTGGGAAGCACTGCCAATTCCCTATTGTCACCTTGGGATGTCCCAGCCAAGCCCAGAAAACAATCCCTAACTTAGCCACCAAACTTCTGCTGTACAGAGCAGTTCCCCTCAACATCAGTTGCCCTTGTCCCCTGAAGACACACATGCCCAGCAGAGGCTGTGCTCTGGTCCTCACCCTGCAGACTGATGCTCCTCTGCTGTGCCAGCTGCAAGCTCAGAAGCTCTGCCTCAGACAGCTCTCAGCCACGCTTACAGGAACCCAGACAGAAACGCTTCTCGGGTTTAGCTCACAGCTCTGCTGCCATGGGAGCTGGGGAAGACTGGCTGGAGCACTTCTACCTTCCTCTTGTCAGGTGAGTGAGGTGCTACTGATTTCCCTGGTATTGAGGACCTGACAAGGTTACTGCTGCTGGCAGGATTACTACTTCTAGGAGGAATGCAGACCTCTATCTCCTGCCCAGAGCAGGGCTCTTGGTGCCAGAGTGTTACCTGGCAGGGCTTTTGGTGCCAGAAAGTGTTACATTACCAAAGCTCTGCTGAGCACCACTGCTGCTTTTCTTTCCCACTCTCTCCCTCTTCCTCCTGGCCAGAACCCAGCACAGATGCACTGTAATTACAGAGGCTCTCCTACCTTCCCTCTTCTGCCCCTCCTGGGGGGCCCAAGCCCTGGACCTGATGGGCTTCTATAATGTCCATATCTGACAGTGCAACCTGGATCCCAGCTGGGTGGAAGATAACTCAGTGTGGATTGAAGAAATTTCTCAGAGCAGTGTTCCTTCAGAGAACCTTGACCTGCTTCCAGGAGCAGTGCCTGATCTCAAAGCTTGACTACAGGATGGACACAGATCATTGAAGGTAAGGCTAATGAGGCAGAAACCTTAGCACTTATATAGAAATAGACAGTTCATGTCAAAAGAAAGTAACCAACTGTGACAATTGACCAGCTCTGAATGTTCTTGTCATGGACCAAAGAATCCAGTGAAATATATATTTTATATTCCAAATATCTCCTGCTTGCCACAGAATGTGCATTCCTCTATTTCTCCACCACCTTTTCTTTTATCATACTAAAGAGCTCTTTAGTCTTTAAAGCCCTTTCATTTGCTCTGGTGGTTGCAAAATAATGTTTTGACAAAACTTCCTCTTTCTAATTTTCCTCCTGTGTCTGTCCCTACAGGTCCTTCTTTCAGCATCCCCTGTTATTCCTTTGTCAGGTGTGGAACCACTTCTCCCTGCCTGCCTCACGTACGAGCCCATCCATCACCTCACATGGGTGAATGGTGTTCAGATGGACAGAGTAAACATGACTTAATCACTGTTAATTATCACTGTTATATGTGAGACCATATGCTGAGATCAGCCCTGATCCATGTGGATGAAGAAATGCAAAAAGCACCTTAAGATTCCTCCAGTGGCTTGACAATTAGGAGTAGACAGCATGAGCCACTGCTCAAGGCATCACCAACCTGAAGCACTCAAATTTCTGCTATCTTATTTAAAGCAGATAACTCTCCAGACAAGTCAGTGGGCCCACGCTTGTGACCTGCAACCACCAGGTCAGAAGGTCTCTTAGACCTGGGGAATGGAGTAACTTAGAGGGCATCCAAGTTAAAAGGGCTGCTCTCCCTTGGCTCTTCCTATAGGCAATGCAGGGAAGAGATAACTGGACCTCCCAAGGCAGTCAGAACATTCAAGGTATCAGGCCATGCAGAGGCTGGTTCCTAAATAGGGCATTAGATTACATACATAGATTATTTCATGTTCATCTGTTCTTTCTCCTCTGTCTACAGAGAGAGCACTGACAAATTAGCCACTGCCATTAGATACCTCAAAAAAGCCCATATAAATGCTCCCACTGCCAATATGACCAGTGTGAGAACAAAGATCAAGTAGAGTAAGACCAAAAAAACACCATCTAGGTGAAGAAAAATCACGTTATGAAAAGCTGTGACCAACCTCAGAAGTATCAGACCTGTCTGATTGAGGAAGACAAAGGTATTGTCTGTTTGCCTGTGAGCAGCTGAAACCAGCACATCCAAACCTCTCAGGGGTGGCAAATATTTGTACAGATGAGCCATGGAAGACTGCAGCATGTTGGGCAAAGCATGTTCCTCCTTCACACTCCACACAAATGTCCAGAT